AGCCTATCCCAATATAGTATGTCACATAAAAACATATGGAATTATTTCCATTATCTTTCCCAATATTATCCAAATAACTAGAACTTAACTGATAAAAATACAGGGTCCGATCCTGGTAGTGGTTCTTCGATCACTTTCTTTTGTGTCTCTGCTTCATCCACGTAACCCTCAAAGTGGTAAAGTGGATTGTTCTTGCGAATTGTGCAGGCAAGGAGGCCAGATTCACCTTAACATACTTTTTTTTCGGGTATGTAGATACTGTATAAATCAAAAGGACACCTGGTCGAATTGGAATGCAGTACCCTCGATCGTCCCGAATTAGTTCTCCAGTTGCTTCATCAACTTTGAAAAGGCGAATAGGATAGATAGGTGCAGCTATGCCAATAATCGTCATAAATCCGCACGATCCTTCCTTTCCATCGATGTTAACTTAATTAAGAAATTTATGGGTTGTCCTATCCAATTATATTCAAGGCTTACTTAGATTCGAAGTTCCCTCAGTTGACCCATAGAATTCGGCGATTCGATCGACTTTAAACCGTTCCTGGAATTGCCTCCAAATTGCTGGCCTAGAAATGAACACAGCAGATGGCTTTGCGTCGCGGCAATACTTTTGCAAAGTGGGGAAAGTGCTCACTGATCACCTCAACCCGTTTCCTATCAGTAAACGAACACAGTGGTTCTCTTCATAGGGTGATTTTTCGGAAAGCAGAAGGTAGCGAAGGAGTTCACCAATATATTGTGACACCTAGGTAGTTTTGGTTAGAAATGATATGGCACAACGAGTAAATTTTCTCAGCTTATGCAAACTATCTCCGAAAAGGTCCAATCTTTTGAATGTAGTAGCGCATTATAATTGTAAGCATAATCTTCAATACCACTTACTGTGCATTTGTTTATCACGCAGTCCTTCCAGAAATTTCGAGCAGAAAACTTATCTCTTATAACACAAGTGGCTCCATGTATTATCGTTTGGCCTACTCCTGAAAAAAAGAACTTAAAACAATTAGAACAATATGGATTGTAAGCAAGTGGAATATCCCTCTCTATATTTAAGGCTCTCTTAGCTCCTAGTAATTTTGAGCGGTTTCAGTAGAATTTAGAACAACCTCTAGCAACTCACCGAGAACTCCTGCGGATGTGTGATAGAGTGGAAGGCAGATATAAATCCTATCCGCCTTAGGCTTCACCCCAAAAGCAATCTCCCCACTTGTAGCAATGTAAAAGTACCTGCAAAAACTTTGCTGAGTATTTTACTCGAATCAAGTGAAAATAGATGAGAATGAACTCTAACCTGAAATGTTTTATAACAGCAGGTTTTGGCATTCCTGTAGTTCCAGAAGTGAATATGTAGCAGAGCGGATCTGCAAACTTGAAGTGAAGATGAAAAAAAAACAGTATTTTTCTATTCTCCGAACACATACCCTGAAAGGTCATCTGCCGCAGAGGAATGGGCTGCGATGTAGGCTGAGTCGGCAGCAGTTCGTCAATGGATTTGATATACGATCTAAGTGATGTTCCTCCAGAAAGAATCACCGGATGCATCTGTGAAGCTTCCTCTCCTTCCATAGTTTCGACTAATTCTGAAAATCCGCTATCCGCATAGCAGTTATATGTAAACCACTTGGAACATTACTTTGCTGATATGGTGCTGAGCATAGAATAATGGATGATTTCGAGATTTTCAGTGCATGCAATAGTGATTCTCCTTGAAGATTTGTATTGATCCATGCAGAAATGACGCCTATCTATCAGTCAGAACCATTGTACGGCAACACATTCAAAGAAAGCAAGATCTCACCTTAGCACAAGCAAGCCAAGCAGCTACAAAGTGCGCTCCATTTTCCATGCAAATGGCAACGACGTCACCGGATTGCACAGGCGAATTTTTCTCAAGTTTACATGTTTGTGGTTATCACTGATCATTGAGATATAATCTGAGGGTTTATAATTACCTGCAGCATATGAGCATAACGACAGGCTAGTTCGTCCAGCTCCGTAAATGTGAAAGATTTTCCGAGAGTCATGTCAAAAATCGCTTCCTGAAGCTAATGTATTTCGAGGTGTTCTTCAACCACAGTCACAACAAACCTTATCAGAATTATTTCGCACAGTGTCCAAGAACAATGACTGAATACCTCGATTTTTCCAAAAAGCTCGCGCGCACCGTATCCGCATTCTAATAAGAATTATAAGACCCCTGAAAGGACTTGGTATTACTGTACATTGGGTGAGTAAGTGTAGGCTTACCGAATATCTCTGTTTGTTGTTTGTGATAGCCGCTTGAAGTATCCTGATTTTCGCGGCAATATTATGAATATAACAAACAATGACATCAGAAAAATTATGGATAGAACTGCAATAATAATGAGCCCCCATGAAATCATTCCTGAAAATTGGCTAATAAAATGATTGACGGGTGAGTTTATGCTATTATGGTTGGAAAAAGATTGTTCACACGATTTCTATAGTAGAGCAACTGGGAATGGTATGCGATATCCATTCAAAACCAGTTGCAAGGATGAGGACTAGTGTCTCACTGTCTCGAAAGCTATTAGTATTCTACAAATGCGAGTTCCGAAAAGTTATAAGTTAGAATGGATGACATTGAACAATTGCATTGAGCTATTCGAGCAACGGTTACCAACGCGAAGTACAAATTTATAACTCGTAGATCATAGGACGGTAACAGGTTTTTTTTAAAAGAAAACCCCTAAAGAAATGGGAAATTATCAAAGGTGGCGCTTTGTTAAGTCGT